TGCTAAGGCTCTGCCAATTTTCAGTTTAAGAAAAAACCAGCCAATAAGTTTTGAAGCTTGAGTCATGAACAATAAAAATTGTTGGTTAAATTTTTTAAAATGATATAATTTTTTTTGTTTTAGTATTTTGAAGTTGACCAATTGTTAATATAAGCAATTAATGATTATAGATGATCTGCACTGTATGACGATCAATCTAACCAACATCTTTTTTTTTAAAAAATAACTTTTTTTTTTTTTTAAATCTGTTTTTTTAAAATCTTTGTTTTTTTAAAAACATATCAATAGGATAAATAATTAATGTGTACACATCAATCAAATAACAAACTTCTTTTCTTTTTTTTCTTTTAAAATGCACTCAGTTAAAAATAAAAAAAGAACCCAACAACAAGCCATAGGAGAGGAAAAAGGGTAAGTGTTTTAAGAATGGTGGTGGTTATTGCCCACCACTCATCGTTACTCTAGTTATTATTTAAGGAATGTTCTATATATATATATAATAATTTTGATCTTTTTAATATTATTTATAAACAGTCAAAATAAGGAAAATTCGAAGCTCCCAAGACAATCAAAAAATGTTAGTACATTAATATAATTTATTTTTGAAATTCAATTTCATTTTTTGATGTTTCTTTTGTCACATATAGTTGGTTCTATATATTAATATTCATTGATGTTAAAACACCAGATAAATGAAAATAATATTGATGATTTGGATTTGAATGAAGATGCATACATAAAAAATATCTACTCAATTAAAGAAGTATGTTTTAGTTAACACTTACCATATAATTTTGTAATTATAGTGCCATACCTGACTTTTAATTGCCCCATCACAGAGCGGAACAAAAGAAATTAATAAGGTAATTAAACAAATGGCAAAATTTAACTATCATTTATTTGATTACCACATAATCAATTTATCTGAGCAACATACTTCAAATCCCATCAATAAAGCATTATCAGATAATGACAAACTGCACCTGAAAATTATATGGAATTTTGTATGATATTTTCTTGATTATATGATTAACACTTAATGTTGAATTCATGGAATAATAACTGTTTTTAATTATTTTCTTAGTTGGAACCATCAAGAGAGGCAAAAGCAGAAACAGCTCAACAAGCTAAATGGAACAAAATTTTAAAATCTCTTTTGGAAAAATACCAAAAACATTTAGATATAAAAACTACACCTGAAGAAATTTCATTGGATTGTGCAATTGATATTGTTCTTGAAAGACCATATTCAGGTACTTTTGAATACAAATGACACCATGATTTGTTATGGATACAAGACATACATAAATGTTTGTAAGTATAAGAAGTGTTTTTATTCAGTTGCTCTCTCAATAATATGTTATATCTAACTAGCCATTTTTTTATTTTAGTTTGTTATTTTTTGAAGCGCCTTTTAACTTATTATTGGATCCTTATCAATCAGAATTGTCATATTGTGAAGACTTTATAAACCCAATTATTGCAAATGTGTTTGATGACATTATGGATATTATTAGAGTAGATATGTGAGTTTGGAGTTCATTTCTTTTTATGCATTTTTATTTTAGCAAAAACAGATTTTAACATGAAAATCTTTATAATCAGGGGGGAGGTTGAGAACAAGTTATGAAAAATTCAAAGGAATCAAACAGTACAGCACATTCAATGTGTCAGGATTGGATGTTGCCAAGATGTGATCTTTGAGATTGATATAAATGCTATCACATTTGAAATGGGTTTTTTGGAGCATCAGGAAAATAAATCTTACATAAACCTACATAGGGTTCAGAATTGGCCAGCATTATGTCGATATTTTGGTAATTCTGTTAACATTTCCGCATAATGCTGGTCAGTTTTAAACCCTACATAGGTTTACATGAGATTTATTTTCCTGATGAGGTGGTAGGGAATGCCATTGTTGTTGATCTTAGTAAATGAAAAGATGATCTTGAAAAGTTATTTAAATGTAAGTGGATGTTTCTATTGTTAATTATATGAAGCTTTCATCTTTCATGATGCCTAACAAAGAATAATAATGCTTGGTCAATTACAGGCATGCAAATATCAATTTTTTACCAAATAAAGCACCATTTAGAACGTGGTGCAAAAAGAAATAAACTTGATTGTATAGAATCATATGGAATTCTAGTTTATCATAAGTGATACAAGTTTATGTTTGATGTTGTATTGTGTTTAGCTATTTCAAAACTCATATTCATTCAACTTTAGAAAGAATCATCACCACTTATGTCATGCATTACATACGAGGTAATCTGTTTGTGGTTGATAAACTTTCAGAATCCTGTATTCCAAATTCAAAAGGACAACTATATGTTTTAAGTGAAATAATTGAAAATGTTTATATGCTCAAGGTAATAAATTTTAATATAAATGACCTGGCTTTTTTTTTTTATATACATATAATTTTATTTCATCTTGAAATCCTACATCAGGAAACTTTTCCCACCATAATATTACATCCGTAAGTTTTAATATGAAATGTCATAATATTTCACATAAAAAGGATGTAATATTTACACTGAATGTAATAATTGCATAATTTTTGTGCAATTTTTGCATAATATTACACTATTTATGTAAGTTTATGGTGGGCCCCATAATATTACGTAAATTTACATCAGAAAAAATTTCCTGATGTAGAGTTGAATGATAGATTACTATCTGAAAATGCAAAACATCACACATATTTTCATTCAAAATCCTATAAGAATAAGAGAATCTCCTACTCCAGCATTACCATAAATATACCAGCACTACAATTATCACTATGTAATTTCTATCTTGTCAGCTAATTCTGTTTTTACATTCAAATTTAGCTTAATTATATATATCAACAAGAGAACACACACTGCCAAGGCTAATTTTCATGCAAGATATAAAAATATTAAAAGCTATGTTTTTACTAATTAGTTAACAATCAATTATTTATAATAATCTATTAATAATTTAATGCTAGAATTTTTTAACTTTTGCACCATAATTCATATAAAAATTACTTTACCTGATTTGGATATAACTTATATATTTTTACAAAGCTCTAAATTTCTATTTACCCTTTGTGGCAATTTTCCTTAAATTAGTTAATTTCCCTCCTCTTTTTAATTAATATTAATTTTTTTAATTAAACAAATTGTTGGTTGGTTTAGTTTTTTATTCATGTAGTTGGAGTAACTATAATTTTAAAAATAAATTGAGCAAAACTTCTTGAAGTGTTAAAAGAAACATTCTTTTGAGTCTGCATTATATGGCTTTTAAGGACTCCATAATTCCTTCTGACATGAAAGTTCACTTTGTATGGTTTTGTTGCAGAACACCTCAATTGTACATCCTCATTCTGCTTTCTTTTCTTAATGTTTATTATTTTTCTTTCTTCTTGATAAATTTCACAAGTAATCTTTTCTTTTCTTAGATAAGCCTCCAGTGTCTGAGTATCATTTATTTGAAAATGTAAGGAGCGATTTTTTCACCTTGTTCCTTTTTCAAAATACTTCTGATGGTACTATAATTCTTGGGTTCCATAGTAGATCTGATGTAAATTAATTTCATATTAATTATTTTTATATGGGGTAATTCTATATATCACTTAAGGCAAATTGGACTGTTGAATTATAATTACAACGTGATTCTGATAAATTTTGATCCCTGTAATACCAATGTTCACTTTGTCTGGTTTTGTTGCAGTATGCCCCATATATTACTTACCAGCTGGTAAATAAAAATAAACTTATCAATTAGATATAAAAATTATAAAAGTTGATTTATAATACAATATAATACTTACTAGCTGGTTATTATAAAGAAATAAAAAATAAGTTTATTTAGTTATAAAAATTAATTTATAATATAATACTTACCATCTGGTTATAAAGAAATAAAAAATAAATTTACTTATTAGATGATGTTAATAAAGTTTATTTTGTAAAAAGTTAAATTATAATATAATACTTATGCACTGGTTATTATAAAGAAATAAAAAAACAAATTATTTAATTAGAAGATGTTTATTTTGTATTGTGAAGTTAAATTATATATAATAAGTATTATTTTATTATAAAGCAAAATAGTAAATTATGATGTAAAAATACTAGATATTTTTAAAATAGTTATTTGTAAGAAAAAAATACCTTCATTCATTTTTTTTTACTAGTAGCAAGAATTTCCCCAAGACCAGTGTTTATTCCTATTGTCACCGATTAAATTCGGGAGAGCGTATTTTAATTGGTGATAACAATTATTTTTGTTTTGTGTGGATCAGAATGAATAGGGGATCAACGAATTGATTTTATTATTAGCGGATAATTTTGGGTAAAGAAGATAAAAGTTTATCTAAATAAAATATTACTATTTTATTTATTTAGTTTTATTTAGTCGAAACTAATTAACTTGTAACAAAGTTATTTTTACAGTAGGTCAAATTCGAGTTCTTTATATACATGTCAATTAATTATAAGCCCATTTGGGTTCTGGAGCCCGTTTGGGTTTATGAGCCCATTTGGGTTCACGCGCCCATCTGGGTTTACGCGCCCATCTGGGTTCATGAGCCCATATGGGCGCATCGTCACTAATTTCTACTAAATATAGTAAATAAATATTAACGTGTTACGGATTAATAATAATAAGAATAATAATATTAATATTAATAATTGCCTCGTTTCCGTTGAAACGAGGTTTGGCTGTACTTTGTATGATTTCAAAAGGTGTTCCAGTTTCTAGAAAAGACACTATATATTTTAAATTTTAAATTTACATAAAAATCATGACAAAACCTTTAGGATGCCAGAATATTTTTAAAAATGATAGATAGCTGGGTCTATCCAAACAAAAAATTTTTTTTTGATCTTTAATCGGTTTCATAAAGGTGAAAAGGATTGGCAAAATCTTCCAAGGCTGAAACTTGCCTCTACAAAATTACATGAAGATTATGGAGGATTTGAGGGGAAATCATTCGTATCAATGAAGTTGATTCAACGGGATAACTTATTACACCATTAGTTAAATCTTTTCATACATATTTTATAGTTTTAAAGTTTCTTTTTTTCAATTAAGATTTGAAAATTTTGTATACTTTTTATTAATAAAATTAAAAATTTTTTTTGACTATATATACATATTTGACGGGCTACCCAAACGTATAATATTATTACTGAAATTTTTTTTTGGTATTAAATGTTCTATAAATAAATTTAATCTATCAATAACAAGTAATTAAAAATAAATAATTTTCGTAACAAACAAACTAATTAATTCTAGCGGAATTTTCTTGATAATTTGACTTCTTTATAAAATTTTTTCGAGTAGTTGAAATAACATGGATTATATACGTTATCAGAATTCCCAAGAATATACCTTCGATGAAACCAAGAGTTGCCATGAAAACTGCAGTGGCTACTATAGTGAAATATTCTAAACTATTTACAATTTCCCAGGAATCAACCAAAGCTTCTTTCATTAACTCTAAACCTAAATGAAAAATGAGTGCTCCAACAGCCATCACTGGTACATATGCTACAATCCAAGGTCCAACAATTAAAATTATAAAAGTTCCTGCTGCAAGCATCAATCCTGCAACACGACTATCCCCGCCAGATTGAATAAATAAAAGAGAATTTGTGTATACCAAATAATCTAATTTGATTTTAAGGATAAATTAATTTAACATACACGCACGCACATACTTTATTCAGAAAATAAATTCAAAATTACTTACTTTGAACACTTCCACAAAAACCAGAAATCATATTTGAAAAACCATGAGCTATCAATTCACGATTTGTATCCACATTATCTTCTTCAAGTGAAACACCCAACGCAGGTACATTTATAGGTACATGTAAAATACCAAAAAATGTAAGAGCAAACATTGCTGGAACTGTCTTTAAAATAGCATTCCAATTTGTTTTGCTAAAATCTAAAAGTTAAATACACAAATTAATATATATATATATATATAATAAAATAATTTCAATAATAATAATTTTAAAGCATAGGAATAAAACTCTTTACCAAAATGATTATAAAAGTTATACCAAGGTGTATCATTATCTAACGATATATTAAACACCCAACCATCGTCTCTTAATTCCTGCCAATCCAATCCAAAAATATATACAATTGCATAAAATATAATAGGAATAATCATAAAATATAAAGGAACAACGAGGCTGTAATTTAATCTAGATTGGATAAACCTTAGAAATATCGCTAAAGCAAGTGCAGAGCCACATAACAAGGGTTTATTTTCACTTAATAAAAGAATAAGAGTTTCTAAATCGAATCTAAATTCTTGAATACGGGAGGTAACTTCTATTGCGGTTGCAAATAAAAACCATCCAACACCTCCAATACATCCAATAAGGATATGCCTTGGAAAATATTCTACTAAAGAACCAAGCTGAATTATGCAAATATTGTATGTAAGCAAACGAATAATAACGTTCGTTAATTAATAAAATAATATATAAACTTTTTTACCCTAAATATACCCAACAATAGAAACACAACTCCTGTTAAAATTGAACTTAATGCAAACGAAAGTATTGTTGTAGCGATTACTGCCTTTTCACGATCTTCAGTATTTTCATCAATTTGTGATGAAATTGTTTCAGCCCTATATAATATTTAATTTATTAAATAAATTTTACAAGAATAAATAAATATCAGGAAGTAAAAAAGATCAACTTACATCAAATGTAGGAAAGGAACAACTTTTGAAAGATGAAAAATAAAAAAATTTATTATTTATAAAGTCCATAGAAAATTGATGAATCATAATATAAGTTTTAAGATACAAACCTTCAATCATCATACTACCATTACCACCTCGAAATACACTGCCACCACCAGAATAAACTATTTGTGACACAATACAACTATATTTATATTTTAATGATGGTATGAATTTACATTAATAATCAATCAATCAGAATTGATAAATTGATTTATCTCAAATAACTTACCTAATGAAAAATATAGAGATACCATCTGGGCCAAAGTTTTCGAAAATAGGATTGCTTAATGGAAATATGATCAAACCTATTATATTTATAGACATTATTAGATCTTTTTCAAATTAATGCCCAGTAACAAAGAACATGTAAATCATTAACTTTACCATAAGAAATAGCATCTAAAAGATTTAATAAAAGCCCAAGTATGACAGCAGGAATGTATGAAATTGGGTCCAGGACTATGTGTCTAATAAATTTTTTTGGTGTGATATGAATACTTGGTCTTGATATTCTTTCATATTGTGAATAATTATGAACTCCAACATATGGTATCCAATTAATCCATGAAATTTTTCCCTGAGGATAATAATTATCATTCTCTATTATTACATTCCCATAATTATTAAAACCAAGCTGGTTATTTAGTAATGGTCTGTTTTCCATCCCACCAGTCTCAATTTCACTGTCATCTGTTGGGATATCTTCGTTATTAATTCTAGGTTTTGTGACATCAGGTTTTTTTGAATTATCTATTTGAACTGATGATGTGTCTAAAACTATTGATGGTGATGGTTGTACAGTTGAATTTGGATCAGGGTTTTTTGACTCTTTTTGTAGTAACAATGATAAATTACTTTGAAGAGCAGTTTGTGCATAAACTCCATTTGCATTGTCTCGTTTGTTTTCCTCTGGTAAACTTCCTAAACTACCAAGAGCCCAATTTTGATTACGGTTCCTCAATTGTGAAGAATTACCTGGAAAAAAAATTTTAAATAAAAATAAAACAAATATATGAGCTTATCTGCCAATTTTTCATTTTAAATCATATGATTCTTTAATTGGTTTTTTGTGAAACCATAATAATAAAAAAAATTTTTGAAATTAATTCGAACCAATTTCCAATTGATTAGGAGTATTAAAGTACGGACGAGGACCAAGACTGACATTGGGACTTTTTTGCATAGAAGTAAATTGCAATACGCTAAAAGAACGATTTGGTGTATATGATTGTGAATGTTTACTTCTGAACGAAGAAGGGCTATGTGGCCCTAAATTTACATTATTGTTGCCCTCGTCTTGATTTTGAGACATAATTTGCCAATATTTTAAAATGTGTGTTTTAAAAAAAATTTTTTTTTTTGTGGGAAATTTAACTCAATATTTATATGAAAATTTTAAAATTAGCAAATTTATAATACTATGACGTAAGAATCAAGTTGATAAGCACAGTAGATTAAAAAAGTCTAGTTGGTGTTTCTGCTAATAGATAATCTGCTCATTTTGTTTGAAAAATTCACAGACATTGTTTAAATAGTAGATGCGATGGAAAATCTGATTTTTATGAATGATTTTATCAATTGATAAGATGTTATTTATATTAATATTTGTTTGATTATGCATTATTGTTTTATTTGTTGTACTACAAATGACTATTTTTACAATACTTTCCTGCTTATCTGAATCGTATTAATATATTTGATATTGCCATGTTTTTTACAATTGGCGGGCGAATTAGTGATCGGCAGGGAAAATGTTAATCCACGAGGGCCAAATAATAATTTTTTTTTTTGTATAAATAAAAAAAAAAAGCATAAATGTTATTCTCTGGAATTTTATGAAATAAAAGAAACTGAATTTGTGGCATAAAAAATAAAGATAAAATATATTGAGGCAGAAACCTTATAAAAATGGCAATCAAATAATCAAAATAATCAAACAATCAAATATATCACCATTACCAAATATGGAAATCGATTTAAAGAATACCCACAATATTTACAAAGCTGAATATAGTTGTGCAAATTTGTCTACAAGTTTATCTACAAGTTTATTATTACAATTATATTTATAATTAATTGTAACAAGAAAGGGTTTGGTTGATGGCATTGTACAGTTCACTCTTCTATAACGAATACTAAGTAAATTTTAAAGAATTTCGCTTTTGCCCCCGATTCATTTTTTTATAATTAATTCCTCTCTATATCTTAGTAAACACTCTCCATAACAAAACGAAGCAGAAAAGTTATATAGAAAGAATGTGCGAGTTCACGTTTCACAGATAACCTTTTTTTGAATGTCCATAAATTTCCTTGGGTGAATTCAAAGAAATACGCACCCCTAAAAATAATTGAATAAGTAATATAAATAGTTATTTATTAAAAATTGCTTACTGGAATGATTCGTGTAACGCTCTAAAATATCACATTGGACGATAATTTTATGAACTTGGAAAATGCTGTTCAAATATATATATACATGGAAAAATACAAAACGTAAAGAATTTCTATATAAAATAATTATCATTATGCATGAACCAACTTTAAATGGCGGCTTTTTTTTAAAAAATGATTGAATTTCAACTTGTTATTTCAATTAAAACATCACGTCTCAATTAACAGACTTTGGATAAGGAAGCAAGCGAAAACACTCGTGACATTGCTGGTGCATTCAATCATTTTCAGTCACAAGTAATTTGTGCAATAAAAGCATTTATGGAAGAAGATCAAACTACTATTGCTCCTCCAAGAAGTACAAATGAATTTGTTTCTTGTTTAATGGACGAGTGGGCTAATCTTGATCCTGATTATTTGCAAAAGTTGGTAGACAGAATGCCTCAAATGATTCAAGCTGTAGTTGATTCAAAGGAAACCCGACAAAATATTGAGTAAATGAATCTTTGTTATTTTTACATTTTTAATTTTCCATGAATATTTGACCAATAATTTTGAAAATTTATTTGAGAACCAATGAAGCAACATTTTCTAAGTTCTCGAGATATATTAAAACATCGTATCTTAAAATAGCTCCAAGTGCAACTTTTTTTTAAAACCTTCGAAAAATTTTAAACTATCAGTCCAACGTGATATTTTAGAGTGTTATTATTATGCAAATCATTTCAGTAAGAATTTTCTTATCAATGCACAAACCTCGATTTGCTTAATAAGCAAAAAATGACTATTTTATATTACAAATTATTTATGTTGGAGTCAATACTTTTTTTTTAGGGGTGTGACTATTATTGTTATTCAGGGCGCGAAATGTGTTGATCAAAAATATTGGGGAAAATGCCCGATTTGAGAAATTTTTATTGAAAATCTTGAAAAAATATTGGACCAAAAGAATAAAATAATATCATTATTACTATAAATAATAAACAATAAATAGTAGTAGCAGAAATAATTGTCAGTTTTCTTTTCTTAAGTCATAGTTACTAATAACCATAACCATAGTAGTAGTAATATAGACTATAAATATCATTATTGCAATTTATATTGTTTATTAAAGGAAATAAGACCTTATTTATAAGTTAAAATCCCTTGACGATAACAACAACAATAATATAGAATTTGTTGTATCAAGCTGTAAATTAAATATTTTATATTTTATAAAACCGAGTAACTCAAATAAAACGAATAAAATGAGTAATTCGAATAAAACGAATAAATGAATAATTAGAATGATGAGAATAATTAGAACAAAAATGATTAATTAGAATAGAATAAAAAATGAATAAAACGATAAAATGAACAATTAATGCTGATCCATTTATTATAACATAGTACGGTGCGGGTCACTATAACCCCATCAAATAACTTTAAAGCTAATAGGGAAATATTGAATACTTATCTGGAAAAATTAGATGTTTGATAGCTATTAAGTAGTTCTACAACTTATCGTCGAGATAAAATTATTAGTTTAGAGTTATTAGCTTTTAAAAATTTCAAATAACTTTAAATGTTTCAATTTGGACTCTATTTTTTCAGATAAGCACTCAATATTTCCCTATCCAGCTTTAAAGTTGATCAACATTTATTTTGATGGTTAGACATAAAGATGATTGAATTCACCGGATAGTAAATATATAATTTCTTTTTACTGATGATATACATACCAATTAATTAATACCTTGCATTTCATTAAAAACTTATTTCATTTAAAAAAAAAAATTTTTTTGTTATATACTCTGGCAGGACAAAAATACTATAGAAATAATAGTCAAATACCTGTCTGGTTTCTATTGGATATTGGTCAAAAATTTTAAATAAATAAATAAACTAGCAGTAATGATTAGAATAATTTGAATAATTTGAATAATTTCAGAATAATAATAATTCATAGTTTGAATAAAATTTATACAGTGTAACTGGAAATGGCCGATCCCTAAATTTTTTATCGGACATTCTAAAATTTTATTGGAATGTTCCAATTTTTTAATTAACACAAGAAATCAACGAAACCAATCCAGTGCAACGTTCAATCTCTATTTCAAGGTTAATTGTTGATTTTTTTGG